TCCCCCACCTCGTCAGGTCAGTGGATAAAAATATAAGAGTACTTTGAAATAAGAGCTTTTTTGGAGAGATCTTCCCCTCCCGCCGGCAGGCTTGCTCCCCAGATAGATACTCTTTGTCCTGCCTTGTCTCCTCCCACTAGATGCAGTGTCTGATGCCTCAGCCGCAGCTCAGCCCTCTGCTAACTGCTTTCCGTCCTGGGGATAGAGGCTTGCCTCCCGGTTTCTGCCTCGTTTGTACGTCCAAACGCAACCTCAGCATTTCCTGCGGCCACTGCAGCTACTGCCCGCTCTTTTCACGGCAGGGAGGGTTTCAAAGCCTCCACTGCTTTCTCCACACCAGCAGCCTTTCCCCGGTCCTGCACCACCTCTGCGGTGGTTCTGCCCTGGGAGATGCTGCCTGGCGACCACAGGGACGCTGGTGTTGGCCCTGGAACACACTCAAACTCTGAGGTGCTTGCTCTCTGGACCGCCGCTAGTTGCTTCCCGAATGCTTGTTAGAAAAGGAGATACAACCTAACAGGGTTTTCAATGCTCCTGGGCATCCCCCTGCCAGGGCAATTATGGGCGGCTTTCCCATTCTGATCGACATTCCCTCCAGCTGAGTCTAATTTTACCCTTATGGAAAGAAGACGAGATCTAAAGAGCTTTCGGGTTTTGTGTAAGAGAAATTAGTAGTTTTTTTTCAAGTCCTTCAGTTCCTCCCTTGTCTCATCCCAAGACTTTCTGTTCCTTCAATTCGGCTTCATGGCCAAGAGGGGAACGGACCCTGATTGAACGGTGTTTTCATACGTGGGCCATGCCAGCGGGCCAGAGGGTTTTGTCTCGCCTGCATCCACCTCAGGAAAACTCTTCCCTGCCCCTCAGGACTCCAATCTCAGCTGTCCCCAGGCCACAAGCTTCCACAGGAATCTTTTTCTGCCCATTTTTCTCATAGTATTTTTGCACGACTCCCATTCTTCTCCAGGAGTCTGCGTTCAGAGTCCCAAGAACACAGCTCCTCTGTCTTGTTGCTTTTCTACTTTACACTAAATTATTTCCTACACTATAGTCCTATATTCTACCTTACCCTAAATTTTTTCCTATACTATATTCTTATACTTAACCCCATGTTTTTTCCTAATTTTAACAGATAGAAATTAAGAGAGAGAGAGAGAGAGAGAGAGAGAGAGAGAGAGAGAGAGAGAGAGAGAGAGAGAGAGAGAGAGTTAGACAGAGAGATACTCACCGCAGCCTAACTTCTCACTTGGGCTTTTCTTTCAACTGCTTTGCTTCATCTATATACAATTTTCCTCCCGAAAACAGACTACTGTCACCTTTACTTTTAGTTCATTCATTTAATTCAGTGCCCCCAATCTCCTTTCACTAAGTCCCTAGTCAAGTCCCTAGTTCTGGAGCCATCTGTGGGAGGCCAGCTCCCACTTTTTCCTAGGGTACTCTTGAGAAGAGAGGGATAAGAAATACTTAGATAGAAAGATAGTGTGGAGAAGAGACAGACAGAAACACAGGATAGCTTTTGGGGGGCTTGGATCCATATCCACCTGCCCTTTCTGTTTCTTCAAAAGGGCTTTTTATAGGAATGCCAAGGGGCAGGGCAAAAGACCTCCCGCTAGCAAGGCCAAGTGCAGATCCTTCCAAACACCTGGTAACCACACATGTGTAGCTAAAGTATTACACATTCACAGCATGCAGACCACCATCACACATCACTCATGTGGTCAAGCCATCCCTTAATGCAGCCCTGCTGGGTAAAGCAAGCTCAGATCTTACTAGGAAACCTCTGTGGGCCCCCACAGGGACCTCAAGAAACTGAAAAGCTTCTGTAAGGTAAAGGACATCGTCAAATGGATAAAGTGGCAGCCTACAGTATGGGAAAAGATTTTACCAACTCCACATGCAATAGAAGACTAATATCCAAAATATATAAAGAACTCAAGAAACTAGATATCAAGAAACCAAATAATACAATTAAAAATGAGGCACAGATCTAAACAGAGAATTTTTGATAGAATGATCTAAAATAGATGAGAAACATTTAAAGAAATGTTCAGTGTCCTTAGCCATCAGGGAAATATAAATTAAAACAACTTTGAGATTCCATCTTACACCTGTCAGAATGGCTAAGATCCATAACACAAGTGACAGCTCAAGGATGTGGAGCAAGGGGAACACTCCTCCATTGCTGATGGGAGTGCAAACTAGTACAGCCACTATGGAAAATCAATATGGAGTCTCCTCAGAAAATTGGGAATCCATCTGCTTCAAGACCCAGTTATCTCACTCTTGGGCACACACCCAAAGGGTGCTCCATCCTATCAGGACACTTGCTCAACCATGTTCATTGCTGCTCTATTCATAATAGCCAGAAACTACAAACAACCTAGATGTCCCTCAACAGAAGAATGGATAAAGAAATTGTAGTACATTCACATAATGGAGTATTACTCAGCTGAGAAAAAAAAAGGAAATTCACAAATTCACAGGTAAATGGAAGGAACTAGAAAAAAAAATCATGTTGAGTGAGGTAGCCCAGACCCAGAAAGACAAATATGGCATTTAGGTATTTATTCACTTGTAAGTGAATATTAGCAGTTAAATCAATTATAAACAAGCTACAGTCCATAGACCCACAGGGTTTTAGGCAAAGAGGAATGGTCTGGGAGGCTATATGGATCTCCCTGGGAAGAGGAAATCCAGTAGATTTTGTGAGTGGACTGGAGTGGGTGGGGTGGGCTTGGGAGGGAGAAGGTGGGGGGATGGGATGGAGGGGAAGAGATGGCTGGAATTGTGGGGCATTTTGGGGGGTGGTGTGAAATCCTAGGGCAGTGGGAGCTTCCTGTAATCTATGAAGGTGATCCTAATGAGGACTCATATCAATGGGGGACATGGAGTCTCAACGGGCCATCTCTTGTAGCCAGGCAAGGCTTCTTCTCATAGAGGGACTAGGGAGTAGGTTGCATTCAATTGAGTTGTTCACCCAAGGGGTCTTGTGGAAATCCCAAAACTACCCAGGCTGATGCTAAGACAAAGGGTTTTGCTCTCTGCAAACTGACTGCGGGGTGGGGGGCCCACTGCTGAGGACAACACCCACACAACTCACTGAACATGGAAAAGTGGAGCTGGTGCCCACATGGAGCCTTCCTTCACACCTATGCTCTAGTCTCTTTGGTGCTGAAAGGTACTCTGTGGGCCAACCTAGCCACAAAACATTTGACCGACAATCTGTCCTGCCTGCAAGATGTGCTAGGCCAAAGGTAGCACAGAACTTGTGGGAGTAGCCAACCAATGTCTGATTTGACTTATGGCCCACTCCATGAGAAGGAACCCATACCCAACACTCCTTGGGTAACCAAGAATTGGAGACTAGATAGCCCAAAGACCTAGGGTACAACCAAACAGGACTGGTAAAGCAAACAAACAAACAAACAAATGACTGAAAAAAAAACCCCAAACAACAACAAACAAAAAAACCAAACCAAGCAACCAAACAAAAAAACCAATGAAATGATTCCTAATGATATTCTGCTATACTCATAGGTTAGTGCCTTGTCCAGTCATCATCAGAGAGGCTTCCTCCAGCAGCAGAAGGGAACCGATGCAGAGACCCACAGCCAGACATTATGCAGAGAGTTTAAATTGGAGTTCTCCATCAAACACCTCCCCTAAGAGCTCAGGGAATCCTGTGAGAGAGGAGGTGGAAAGATTGGAAGAGTCAGAGAGAATGGCCCTCTGAATCAACTAAGCAAGGCACATATGAGCTCGTCAAGACTGAAGCACCAAGCACAGGACCCACACAGGTCTGCACCAGGTCCTCTGCATATAGGCTATAGCTATTAGCTTAGTGTTTTTGTGGGACTCCTGATCATGAGAAAGAGTGGGTCTCTGACTCCTGTGCCTGCTCTTGGGACTCTTCCTGTTGGGTTGCTTGTGTCCAAACATCGATATGAAAGTTTTTGACTCATCTTCTACATTTTATTTTGTCACATTTGGTTGTTATTGCTTAGAATTCTTTTTTTTTTTTTTCCCTAAAGAGACAGAAGGGGAGTGGATTAGGAAGGGATTAGATGTGGGGAGGAACTGGGAGGAGTGAATGGAGGGGAAACTATAATCAGGATATATTGTACGACAAAAGAATCTATTTTCTTTCTTTTTGGTTTTTTCGAGACAGAGTTTCTCTATGTAGCTTTGCGCCTTTCCTGGAACTCACTTTGTAGACCAAGCTGGCCTCAAACTCACAGAGATCCACCTGCCTCTGCCTCCTGAGTGCTGGGATTAAAGGCGTGTGCCACCACCGCCCAGCAAAAGAATCTGTTTTCAATAAAAAAATAAAGCCCACATTTAATTCTTTAAAAAAAGAAACATCATTATTGTCCAAGGGCTGTTTTATCCATTTTCTCTCTTTTCCTACTACACTGCTTCACCTAGCATTCTGTTTAGTGTCATACTCTGTGGTGGGGAGCTGTTCTAGCTACGACCTTGAAGCTACCTAGTGAGGTAGCAGGTAACTGTTACACCTGCCTATGACCTTGAAGTACACGTCTCTGGGGAATGGCCACTCGGGAACCTTAAGACCTGGGATGCACGTAGGCGGCTCTCTCTCTTCATCTCCTTGTGGTATTGGATGCTGAGATCTTGGACCAGGCAAGTCAGTGTGGGACATAACTCAGCTGTCCCAGACCCTACGATTAATCTCCCATGGTAGTGAGTTAAGCCCAAATAAATTCCTTTGCTCATTAAATGGGCTCGGTGGAGTTCTCACATTAATACTCAGCTCAAATAGTACTTTCTTCTAGATTTTTTTTTTCCCCCTCTGGCTTCCCCAGTCATGGAAGGTCGAAAGCTAGTCACTGGAGAGTGTGAAGCATTTAGATTTCGCTTTCAGCATTTGAAAATTTCTCCTTCAAACTTTCTCAGCCATTGTACTCCCCATTAACAAGAAAGCCTCTTTACCAATGGGATAGGAAAATAAGCCAATAGAATTCTGTCATCTACTGAGAGCTTACCCATAGCTTGGAGAGTACTGGAGGGCTCTTTCGATCACATCTCCTTCAAATTGGACGGTGTTTCCATTCTCCACAGTGAAAGTAGCCTTCTTAAAAGGGAACATGCTTGGGTTTGGAGATCCAGGAGCCAGAGAGATGAGGGTTTTTGGTGCCCTGCTCATTATCTCAACTACAATAAACACGAAAAAGAAGAAAAAATAGGTCTACTGAAGCATTTTATAAACAGACAATTCCATATGCGTTATAGTCAACTATCATGTTTTACAACTTCTAGTGATAGAATGTTCTGTGGCCTGAATGTGGGTGTCTCTGACCAGTTCTTATATTAGAATCTAGTACTCAATGCGATATATTAAAGATGGGATTAGATCATGATAACTCTGCCCTCAGACATGGAATTGGTGTTCTTACGAAAGAGGCCGAGCTGCTGCAACAGGCATCATCATCATCTACCGGGAATTGCCCTCTCTGGGTACCTGATGTGGGACTTCCCAGCCTCCGGACCCGAGAGAGGAAGCTTCTCGCTGCTATTTCAGCTCCTCCAACACCCCAGCGGAAGTACTCACTGCCTTGCCTTGCCTCAGCCCAAGTCGCTAGTAAACAAAAGTTCTGTGTTCCTCCTTCCAGTAATGCTCACAGACTGTCTTCACACTTGAACGAATGGGTGCAACCTGGCGGTGACCGCCACAACAGTGCACCGTGCGGAGCTTCTGAGAAGAAAACTCCACTCCTGCAGACCAGGAGGAGGCTCTGGCTTTGGTTTTTACCTGTTCCTCGGATGGGGGAAGGCTTTCTGGCAAGGCTGGTTGCCGTGAGGAACCGTGAGTAATTCATGTCTCTGCTGGTCGCCCGGCACAGGACTAGGAAATCCGGTCACTTAGAGCGGCCTCCCAGCTCACGCAGGCAGCACTCCCTGGCTTCGGGGCTTCCTCCAGGGTCTGCCTGCGATCTAAATAGGCCCGGGCCAGGAAGCAGCAGTGACAAAGTCCATCTGCAGAGGGGATGGGCAACGTCGCGGACGCGGTAGCCTGCAGCAGGCCATGCCCTCTCCCACCCCGTGCCCCGGTCTATGGCAGCCGACCGCGGGGCGTGGCCCTACAGCAGGGCACCGGCCAAAATGGGCGTGTCAGGATGAGAAAGGCCAAGGCCCCGCCGTGATGCACAAACGCCACAGGGATTAGTTCCCGAATCCACACGAAAGCAGCGTGGACTCTTGACCTTGCAGCGTGGAGTCACGCGACACAGAGTCGCCCGCCCGCCGTTGAACAAGGTGTGGCCTGCCAGATCTTTGAAATGAGCCCCTGGAACCGGACCTGATCTCAGGATTCTGGTCCTTCCGTGCCATCTGGTGGTGGCTTTGTTCCATTGCAGCGGTTGCTGTAAGAGGAGCTCAGCCTGGTATCTCAGTAACAAGGCTGTGCTAAATTCTCCCTCCCTCCCCTCCCCTCCCTCCCTCCCTCCCTCCCTCCCTCCCTCCCTCCCTCCCTTCCTCCCTCCCCTCCCTCTCTCTCTCTCTCTCTCTCTCTCTCTCTCTCTCTCTCTCTCTCTCTCTCTCTCTCTCTCTCTCTCTCTCTAATTAAACTCTTGGCATTCTCTGGCCAGTCTTCAAAGGGAGTCAGATGAATTCCGTAACTTTTCCTCCAATACATGAGCCCGGCAGAGTGAGTGGGGGAAGAGTTGGCCCCCAAATTCAAAGAAGCATTCTGAAGTCTCCTGGATTCTCAGTCCCCCGCTGAGTTCCAGAGCTCTCACCGTGTAAGAACTCCGCGATTGGAAGTGTGTTGCCTATGGCAGAAATAAAGCGACGATCAAGTACGAGCTCATGAACTACCTGGCCGATGACGGCCTTACAAAGAGAAACTGTCTTAGGTCCACAATCATTTAAAGGAGAAGGCTACCGTGAACAAATCCCACCGGGAGTACTTTTGGCAGTCGAGGTGCCCTGGGCCGCACAGGGAGTGAGTTACAAAATGATGAAAGAACAGCTGAAAATTCGGGGTTAAAGCTTGTCTCTGGAAAGCAAGGCAGCCCATTGCTTTTGAGGCGTCATCTTTATTTGACCACAGTAGGTTAAAAAAAAGGCAAGTGAGAGCATTCACCCAAGAGGCTGCGCTGGGGTGGGTGAGACGGGCTTTGGAGACTATAATCATTCCAAGGTTAAAGGGGGCGCATACCGCAGTAGCTTGACTTCTCAGCATCGGACTTCAGCCTCTTACTGTACTCAAACACTCTGAAGAGAGAACACAGTGTGTGGCATCTAAGACCAGCAGATCACGAGATGAAAATTCCTAATCTTTGAGTAGCTTGCTGCATTCTCCATTATGGCTTTTTCTGTGTTTTAATTAATTTTATGCTGTCGTGATAGAGATACCGTGTCCAAGGCAACTTATAAAAGAAAGCATTGGATTTCAGGGCTCCCAGTTCCAGAGCATTAGTTAGAGTCCTTGACCACCATAGCAGGGAGCATGGCGGCAGGCAGGCACGGAGCCGGGGTGCTGAAGCTGTAGCTGAGAGTTTACATTTTGACCCACAGGCAAGGGGCAGGGAGAGCTAACTGGGAATGGTGTCAGTGTTTGAAACCCGAAAGCCTGTCGCCAGTGACACACCTTCTCCAACAAGGCCATACCTCCAGATCCTTCCCAAACAGTCCCACCAGCTGGGGACCAAGTACTCAAACATGTGAACCTGAAAGGACCAAGCAGATGCCATAACAGGCTGCTCAGTCTTCTCTCAGAGATCAGGCCTCAATTTCAGTTTCCTGAGACTTGAGCAAGCAGTTTCTGGGAGGGCCATGAACAAAAGACTGCTCAAAGTTTAGCCAGATGTTTACTTTCTGGGGCCCCTCACCAACTTAGAGTTATGTGCAGTACGTGCTTGACCAGCCAGCCCCCATGGTGGCTCAAGGACAAAGCCTGGGACTTGTGCTGGACTGCCCCCAAAGTAATAAATTGTAACCACCAACCAGTAAATTCAAAGGTTACATACCCTCACCCAATTAAAAGAGAACAGAGATAAAGATAAACCAATCCGAGTTGCACCCGTGCAAAACTCCCCCAACCCCCCTGAAGGGCTTGTGGATTTTACCTTTAAAAAGCCAGCCACACAAAGAAAAAGCAAGTTCCTCCTGGCCTCACGACTACGAGTGAGTGCTTTGGATCGAGCTTCCCTGTCCGTGGCTTGTAAACAGAAATAAACCATGCTAATTGCATTCTGAACCTAAGGTCTGTGGTGGTTTGTCTTTGGGGTCCCAATCTGGGCATAACAAACCCATTCTCACTCAAAACCACCACGTCCTGGAATTAGACAGACAAAATAATTGAGATACGGACTGGTTATATGCTGGGTGAGGACGACGGCGATTCAGGCCAGGTAGGGACACAAAGTGGCCCATGAGAGAAGGTAATGTGTGCTGGGAGTTATGGCTGTAGAGACGCAAGGCAGACTATAGCCACAGTCCATGGAAAGGGGCTTCATATTAGTTATTTTTTTCTTGTCGAGGTAACCAAATACCCGTGAAGAAGCAACTTAAGGGACAAAAAGTGTTATTCTGGCTCACAGTTTAATGAGATAGGGTCATATTGGCAGAGAAGCTCAGAGGCAGGAGAGTGAAATGTCTGTCTGGTCCCATGACCTCTACAGTCAGAAAGCAGAAACCCTGCTTACAGAGGGAGCGGGGACCAGGAAGTCAAACCTCAAGGGCTCCCCCTAGGGGGAATGGCTAGAGCCACTTCCTCCAGCCAGGCTCCTCATTTGAAGATTTTAGAACCTTCCTGAGCAGCCTCACTGTGTATTCAAACCTGTGAGCTTGTGGGGGAGATTTCACATTCAAACCACCACAGACTGCCAGGAGTTAAGCGGAGAAGAGCTTAGCTGTCAATCCGAAGTCACAAGTTGAAGGTAAAAATTGACTGTCAAGAGAGGCCGGGCTCTGGCTTGGTCAGGAGCAGTTCTCTCGAGGGAGCGAGATGAAGGAGCAAAGCTCATGTCTTAGGGCCGAGTCTTTAAAGACTTAGTTTAGGATTGCCGGAGGATTGAGCTGAGGGACCAGATCCTTTATCCAAACATTTATTGAATCCCTTACTCTCTACAAAGACATGTAATGAATTTGAAAGGATAGTGGAGACTATTCACTGTTCTTGAAGAACAGGAGAGGTGAGCGATTTCATATGAGGCAGTGTCTGGCAGAGGTGGATGGTCTGCTAAGAAAGGAGAAAGAGGGAAATGATGATTTTTAGTAGACAGATGTTCACAGTTGGGTTGGAAACATATTTCTTTTATGATCTTGGTCATGGTTGCCGTCTAAAATCAAACAGGGTCACACACAGCCTAATTATCATTTTCCACAAATTTCTCTTAAAACTTAGAGGACAAAGAAGGGCCTGTTTTTCACTTATCAGGGTCTTGTCCCATAATTAGGGAGACAACCAAGCTTTTAAACACCACATTTGGGACTAGAGATACAGCAGAGTGGTAGAGTACTTGCCTAGCATGTACAAAATCCTGGGTTCAGTCCTCAGCACCACAGAGCAGAGCAAAGCAACAACCAAGAAACATGATTGTGTTTGAATAAATTTTTCTCATTTACCTAATCTGCATACTTTGAGCCTGAGTTGTTGAGATGGTCTTGGCTTGTGAAATGAAAAATGGCTTTATTTATTGGGAGGATAACGAACAAAAGTATATTACCTATTTTTGTCAAGTTATTCCCAAACGTAACAACTGAACGAGTCTGCTAGGGATTCCATGATAAAATACTCCTGCACAGCTCAGACAGTGGGAATTAATTTTCTCCTACAATGAGGTTGTCAGACCAAGGTCAATGTGTTAGCAGGCCTGCTTTCTTTAGAGGGTGTTCTCTTCAGTGTGTGGATGTCTCTTTCTCTGTACATTCATCTAGCAACTTCTTTGGGGATATCTATACAGCCGGTGTCTCTCCTCTTTTAAGGATACTGGTTATACTGGATCAGGCCTACCCTCAGGACCCTAGTTTACCTCTTTAAAATCCCTATTCAACAGAGTTAGAGTGGAGCCAGGGCTTACGGGGTATTGGTACCAAGATGAAACTGTGTTTGTCAGGGTCAGGATGTTACGAAGGGGAACTCACATCTGCTTGTGTGTTATAAGTACTGTCTCCAGGAGTTTCTACAGAATGCACAAGAAAGTTCTTCCCATTATGTACAAGCTGTGCACATTTTTAGTAGTCTTTAAGGTTGTATCAATATAGAAAACGATGGTCAGGACAGAAGAAACTACCCTGCAATGGTATCTCCACCAACGAGCTGGTACCTGCTTAGTCATCTCGAGTCTCCAATTCCATTGACTGTTTGCATCTAAGCAGTTTGTAAGAGTTTTCCCCTTCCTCTATGAATGAAAACTGTTCTTCCTTTCTTTGGTGCAAACGGAGCTCACAATAGTGTCCAGATGGACTGTAACTATATAAATCTCCCCTTAGTGCCTCTTCAGTCTTGGCCCAAACATCAAATGCTTATCTCATAATTATGTTGGGGCTGGAATCCGGGAACTTCTTAGCTGGTGGCTCTGCCGTGGTTAACCCCACGAAGATAATGGTGTGGTCAAGATAATGGTGTGGGCCGACTCCACCTGGAAAATGAGTGGGCCTGAGAGAGCGGCTTCCAAAGTGGCTTGTTCAAGTGCTGTATTAGTTTACAGCAATTGTAACAAAGTAGCCCAAACAGGGTAGCAGATTCTTACCGTTTCACAGGTTTGCAAAGTTAAAAGTACAAAATAAGGTTGGCTCTCTCTGAAGAAAAAAAAAAAAAAAAAAAAAGCAAAAATCCCAGGAAGATTATCTGTTTATCTTCTACGTTCTGGTAGCTTGCTTTCCAACTTTTGCTTTGGTTGACTAATGATTGACTGTAACTCTGGTATTGGTGCCAGGGTTTCAGATGGTTACCTTAACAGTTTTCCTTGTCACCCGTGTATCTAAAACCCTATCTTCAGGGAAGATTGCCTTTGGAGGTAACAGGAGTTAAGATGATAACATATCTACTTTTCGGTATGCCAGTTTTATCAGGAATACGCGGTTATCAGCCTAGGATCTCTTGTTGGCTGTTGGCTGGGAGCCTGGATGCTTTTCTTGTGTGTCTTTCTGCAGGGCTGCACAAATGTCTCCGGGGCATGGATGACTTGTTTTCCTCTGAGTGACTTAAAGAGGAGGCCTCAATATGTCAGCTTTCAAAAGTCACTAAGTCCAGTCCACACGCATGGGAGTCAGATTCTGCCTTTTGAAGCAAAGAATACATTTAGCTTGAAAACCATCATTGAAGGGAATTCAGGTTAGACCGCATCGG